TTTGAGAGCCAGACCTCCCTGCGGCCATTTTGTCTAACACCTTGGACCTGTGGTGGGTCAGTACCTACTCGTGGGAGCCTGCCGTGACGGAGGAAGCCAGGAAATAGACGCGAGACAGGCAGGGCACCGGGTCCCACTAGCTGCTTCAAGGGCAAGCCCAGTGACCTCACTTCCTCCCTCAGGCCCCGCCCCCTCCCAGAGCGCCCTGGGCTGGGGCCGGCGCCAATCCTTTAATGCAGGCCTCTGAGAGCCACGCAGAGCCCACGCTACAGTTCTCGCTTCATGGTTCCCAGCGAACCCTCGCGACCTCACCCCCTTAGGGCCCAGGGAGATGAACAGTCTTGTGAGTCTGGGGTCACCTTCTGGTCCTAGCAGGCGCAGAACAGGTGCTCAGGAAACTCCCACTCCTGCCTCTGCAGCCCTGGAGATGCTGGCTGCACACGAGCGGGCGCTCGGACTTCGAGCCCATAGGGCTGCTCTGCACCCACCCTGGCTGGAGCTGAAATCAGGCAGAGGTGCGGGATGTCGCTGCCTGGGGATCGACTATTTAAGGAAGGGAGCTGGAGCACAGCTCCTCTGGCAGGAGCCCCGACGTCGATTCCAAGAGGCCCAAGAAGCAGACATTTTCTGGGCACAGAAACAGGAAACGTGGGCATCGAGAACGTGCTCAAGAATCCTGTCACGCTGTGGAAGGCTGCACGGTGCTGTGCAGCGGGGCAGTTTTGCACACCCGCGTACACATACATTTGCACACAACACCAAAGACCTCTGCCAAAGTGGGGGAAAAAAGGAGAAAGAATAAGTGTATTCAGTGGAGGGACATGGCCTCAGGGCTTTGGGCCGTACAGAAGGGGTGACAAATGAAACAGGTGGCAAGTGCTGCAAACCAGGAGCGTGCCAGGGACTGCAGAGGGGACCTCCCCCCGCGCAGCACGCCCAGAAGCACAACAGCTGTGGCATCACCACCTCCCGTCCTCCCAGAGAAAGCCAGGGTGAAAACCCACCTGGGAAGCTCCACTTCTTGCTTGGCCTGGAGGAAAGCGTGCCTGGGGTGCAGGCGGGGAATCAGGCTCAGGAAGGCTGTGTGGCCACCGCGACCCAGACAGAACTCCAGGGAGTGCCTTCTCGCGGCTGACCTCTGTCTGCACAGCCCCTCCGTAGCTGCCCAGGGCTCACCTGAGAAGCCTCTGGGTTACATAAGCCCAGTGCAGTCCTCCCACCTATTTCTTTTCCAGTGCTGGGGATGAAACCCAAGGACACATGTACTAGGCAAGCACCCTACTTTTGAGCTACATCTCCCATCTTCTCTCTCCTAACGTTATCCCTATGGAAATGGGAGCCACACCACCTGGGTTACTGGGTGGAAGACGCAGAGGCCTGAAGCCCCACCTCAGAAACTGCCGTGGCCTAGGTCTGTAATCCCAGCACTCTGAGGAGCTGAGGCAAGAGGATTACAAGCTTGAGTTAGCCTAGGAAACTCAGTGACTTGGTTAAACACTGTATTAAAATAAAATTTAAAATAGCCTGGTGTGGTGGTGCATGCCTGTAATCCCAGCACTTGGGAAACTGAGGCAGGAGGATTGCTTTGAGTTCCAGGCCAGCCTGGGCCACATAGCAAGATCATGTCTCAAAAAGAACCCAAAGCAAACAAACAAGCAGGCGGGGAAAGTAGGAAGGCCCTGGGTCCAATCCCCTGCGCAAAAAGAAAAGCAAAAAGGATTAAGGCTGCCCCACGCTTGGGGCATAAGGGGTGTAGCCTGGATTACTATAAGGGACAGAAAGAGGGTCATCATCCCTGCCACTTGTCCTTGCTTGCTGATTTCTGCTCCCCTGCCATGGACTGTTTCTCCTCTGCTGTGCCACCCTGCCTTGGAGCCAGCCAATATGGACTGAAACCTCTGCAACTGTGAGTCAAAATAAACCTCTCCTCCCTTACCTTATGGGTGTTTTGTCTCAGCAACAAGAAAAAGCAACTAAGACAACCTTAACACTCCAAAAATAACCAATTTTAAAAGCCACTCTCAATTTAAACATGGAAAAATCTCTCAATAAACATTCCTCTAAACAAAGTATTCAAATGACTTGGAGCACATAAAAAGGTGCTCGCTTTCATTAGCCACCAGGGAAATAAATGCAAATCAAAAGCATACTGGGACACTCTTCACCCTGACTAGGATTCCAGCAATGAAAATGCCAAATATCAGCAACTCACAGCTGTCAACAGGGAGGAACTAAAATCCTGTATTCTGTGGAAGAAGACAATGGTGCAGCCATTTTGGAAAACTGTCTCACAGCTCCTCAAATAGACACAGTTACTATCTGACCTGGTAATTCTAGTCCAGCAGAACCACAAACCTGCAAGCACGGCAGGGCTCATACGTGACCATTCACGCCGGTGTTACCATCACATCTTACGTGTATCTACTGACGGCGAAATGGTGACCACACACGTTATCATGTAATGAAGACGTGCTAATGAACACTACAACAGATGAGCCTTAAACGTTCAAAGAAGGCAGGCACGAGACTATATATTTATATGATGCTGCTTCCATGAAATATTCAGGACAGGGAAATCTACAAAGACAGAAGATGCTGGTAGAAGTGCACACCTGTGATTCCAGCATTTGGGAGGATGAGGCAGGAGGGTTGCTGTGAGTTCAAGGCCAGCCTGAACTACATAACAAGACCCTGTCTCAAAAACAAAATGGAGCCAGGGAATTTGGCTCAGTGGTTCTGCCGCCTGCCTTGCAAGCACAAGGGCTCGAGTTTGATCCCCGGTACCAAAAAACAAAACAAACCCCCCAAAACCTGAAATGGACAGGGCTGGGGATTTAGCTCAGCGGTGGTGCCGCCTGTCTCACAAGGTCCTGCGTTTGATCCCCAATATGGAAAAAAAATGAACAAAGTAAAAAGAAAAGTAGATTGGTGATAATTCAGGGCAGTGGTGGTGAACCTACGACAACTTGTTAGCTTGCTTTTCTTTTAAAACAAAAGACGCAAATGTATGAGTTGCGTTTTTCTAAATTAAAACCTCAGTAATTAGGTTTAACTGCAGGATTTGCACTTTGCAATAAATAAGTGGGTTTTAGGTCACAGCTTGGGCACTGGACTCCAAGAAGTTCACCACCACGGGTTGGGAGTTGGGAAGGACGAAGGAAGCAGATGAATGCCTAGTGTGGCTCTCCAGAGACACAGTCAATGGCAATGCGAGTTCACCAGGGCTGCAGAGGGGACCACAGCCCACTGTCTGCGCGCTGGACTTGGGGTACACGCAGGAGGGTTCAGCCCACATCCAGAGGCCCAGAGGCAGGGAGGCCAGCGTGACTCAGTTCGAGGCTGAAAGCCAGGAGCCTGGAGTTCCCGTCCAGGACAGGACAGGAGAGGAGCTAGTGCCCCAGAGGGAGGAGACAGACAGGTGAGGCTGCTGGAAAGTCGCTTTCTGGCCTTGGACAGTGGATGTGCCCAGCATGGGGGGGGGCTGCCCACAACGGCCACTGTCTACAAACCCGCTGGAGATGGCCCACAGCAATGCACCCCAGGTTTCCTGGACTTCCCTTCCAGCCAACTTGTCACCAAACATTAAGCCGAAAAGGGTGACAGTGAAAGGAGACAGACTGTTTTTTTTTGAGATAGCGTCTTGCTAACTTACTCAAGGTGAGCTTGAATTTGTGATCATCCCTATTCACCCTCCCAGAGTTCTGGGATTACAGGTGTGCACCACCGTGCTCAGCTGAATTGTAAACAAGTGAATTATATAGCATATGACTTAAATCTCAATTTAAAAGATTCCTCCTCAATTTTTAAAAAAAAACTCTTGGCTCTATCTAGCTCACCTGAGTACTGAAGCCAAGAAGGGTTAAATGACTTGCCCTAAGTAATTCATCATTTACAATCCCAAAGTAAGATCAAAAGCAGCTGGGGGTGGTGGTGCACCCCTGTAACCCCAGGACGGGGGAAGGGGGGCTGAGGCAGGAGGATTGCTGAGTGTTCAAGGCCAGCCTGGACCACACAGGGAGCCTCTATCTCAAAACAAAAACAAAGCAAAACAAGATAACCCCAAACAGCAACCATAAAAACTTATGAAAAAGGTATGGAATGAGGCCCAGTGGCTAGCACTTTGCTGGCTTTGGAAAGGCCGGGGGCGCCACCCCCAGGACTAGGAGATAATCTCCCTTGGACCTTCCTTTCTGTTCGCACTGGGCCGCATCACCCTTCACTAACCAACAACTAAGCCGAAGTACGGATTGGAGAAGCTCCCCACTCTCCCAGGCCAGCTCACCCAGCAGGGCCTTTCCCTCCCATGTCTCCCCTCCCTCCCCTCAGACCCAGGCTGTAGTCTGGGAGCTGCCTTCCAGGTGTGCCTCACAAGATACCTGAAAGGGTGCCGCTGGGACCTGCTGGGACCTGCTGGTGGGGTCGGAGGGAGATGCAGTTTTAAAGTGATTAGGTCACCTCTCCTATGGGTAAACTTTCCTTGTTGTTGTTTGTTTTGAGAAAGGTTCTCGCAAAGTAGTGCAGGCTGGCTTCGAGGTCGCGGTGGTCCTCCTGCCTCAGCCTCCTTCGTGCTTTTGCACCACGCTCGGCTCCCACGGGTAACCTCTGAGGACTTGTGGGAATAAAGCTGGAGTCTGGAGAAAAGGGTTCCAGACCCAGCGTGAGGTCACCCTTTCTGTCTGTTACAGCAGCCGGAGAAAGCGTCGCGGCCCACTCTCTACGATCAACCTCCGCGCTCCACAAGGGGTCGGGCCTGAGTGCTGCGCGGTCCGCAGTTTAAACCCCAGCGGAGTCGGATCCGGCGACCAGGCCCCGCCCCGGCCTCGTATTCCCGGGAGTGGGTCGGGCACCTCAAGCCCCGCCCCTAATCGCTCAAACCCGCCAGCCCTCCCTGCCAAGACTACGCCCTTTCAAGTATTTAAACAGCTGACCGCCGATTGGTCTTCGTCGGAGACCTCGTTTCCTAATTGGTTGTGGCATCCGGCAGCGTTCACGGCGGGGGGGGGGTATGACCCGGAAGTGATTCCTGAGGCGGCGGCCGCGTGGATTGCTGTTCTGGCGGTGCGGTGGTGATCGCCGCTGCGATGACCAAAATAAAGGCAGATCCGGATGGGCCGGAGGCTCCGGTGGAGGCGTCTGGTGGGGAGCGCACTTACCACGAGCTGCTGGTCAATCTGAACCCCATCGCGCAGCCCCTGGCTTCT